TCTCCATCTTCTTACACTTTCCTACCCACCGCTTCTTGCGGTCATTCCTCAGACTCTTAATGAGCTAGTGTTTGAGGGATTTACGCACTGTATCATATGTTAGTCTATACGATACCCTGTTTCGAGCAGTGACTTGGCCTTCGCATCATACACTTATTCCCGATTATCTGACAATATATACCTACCTGTACCGACAATTTGCGGTCGTTATGTAGAATGTATCAAAACAAACCCTCAAAATGAATTTTTTATCAAGCGTACACGTGTTATTATAATTCACATGCGTCTGAACTCAGATTGTGTGGGTCGAAATCAAAGGAGGAAATGCATACTTGATTGCAGGATATATAAAAGGCTAACTTGACCCGAGGAAATAGAAAAAACAACACTGATTCTTTTTTGCTGCCTAGATATATTGATCTCATTTATACTGGTTCTCGTTTTCACTCGGTTTATTTCGGGCTGCCTGTTTCTCCCAATTTCACTTCTATAGAGATTACACAATGAGTGGCGCGAATTAGAAAAAGACCTGGCAATTTTGGTGTCGTTACTTGAAAAGCGCTCCCCTGATTTGATAAATCGAGATCATCAGGATAAACTTAATCGCGCCAAGTTTATCTTAAAGAACAGCGGGCCCTTGCTGTATACCTCCTCTCGCGTAAGTTCTCTCATGTAGATCACGATCAATGTAAGTCAAGTATATTGTACATGATTTACCTGTTCTTTGTCTGTTGTTGGTCATCCTGTGAAGGTTCGCTGGAAAAGTTGTAAAAATGCCATGCAAGCCTTAGTTAATTCCTCGATCGATAACTATTAGTCTCTTCCATTCATTATTCGCCGTTCGAAAGCCTCGACTGATTTGTACTATACTACTATAAACTTGAATATATTACACTACTATACTATACTATACTATACTACGTTTATTTATTTTCACCTTGTTCATTTCTCGGTCACTGATTTATTTTCTTCTGGGAAAATCTTTATAAAGATTATGGTGATTAGTCGGTTATGTAAATACTGGTTTGAGTATATTTCAGAAGCTACCATCCTTTTCAAAACGTCACGCAAATGAGCTGTTGGTACCGCCAATTTTCCCACCAAGTGTAATTCACGTTAAAGACAAGACAGCCTTTGATGTGTGTGCCTGTGTGATTGTGTAATGAACAACAACGAGCACTGAACAGCTGTTTTGTCCTTGTTGGGTCTGATCAACAATGTGCCATATCATGACATGAACCGTGAATCTGAGGGTCAGGAACCGGGGCCCTCAACATTGTGCTGCGCCATCAGTAAGCGACTGCTTTGGTATCCAATGTGATGTTCGGATCAAGTCATCTTATTTGACAGACATTAGACGTGCTTTGAGTGTCAGTAGTAAACAAATTCCCAAGAAGTGAAACCCGCACCCAAGCACAAGAAAA